CCATCTTCGCCGCCATCTTGCCGCCGCACCGGAAGCTGCTCGGCTTCACTTCCGGCTCGCCCCGCCCGGGTTACGCCCCGTTGCCATGGCGGCGCGTTGCTAAGGGAGGCCGTTTCCGTGGCGACGGACAGCCCCGGGCGGGCTGAGGGCTGCGGGGCTGCGCCGAGCCCCCCGGAGACAGCGGGGCGGTCGATGCTGATTTGCACTGCAGAGAGAGGCGTGCGGGTCTCGCGGCATCCGGGCGGTCGATGGATGCTTCATTCCTGCGAGGTCCTTCGGGCTAGAGGCACTCGGGTATGTTAAAAGCAACGGAGCAATGGCGGGACCAGAGGATGCAGGGCCTTTGAAATCCAGGAGCTGCCTCGGGCTTTCCCTCAGGCCCCGACCTGCCCGCATTCACCTTCCTCCCATCGACCACAGCCACGCGATGAGGGGCTGGTGAAGGCAGCAGCTGTCCCCAGCCGACCTGCACTCACAGCCATAGAAACCTCTTGAAGGGCCGAGATGGATGCATGGCAGCAGAGCCACCACAGACGGAGGATTCCCTGGCTGCAAAGCGATTGGTTCTGGAGACCCCAGAGCATCTTTCCGTCCCTCTCATAGAATCGTACAATCAGAGAATCATAGAATCGCTCAGGTTGGAAAAGACCTTAAAGATCATCAAGTCCAACCAGCACATAACTGTGCTACCCTATCTCTCACAACCCTCTGCTAAATCATGTCCGTGAGCACCACATCCAAACAGCTTTTAAACACATCCAGGGATGGTGACTCAACCACCTCCCTGGGGAGCCTATTCCAGTGCTTAACAACTCTTTCTGTAAAGAAGTGTTTCCTGATATCCAACCTAAATCTCCCCTGGCACAACTTGAGGCCATTTCCCCTCATCCTGTCACCTGTCACCAGTGAGAAGACACCAACCCCACTCTCATGGGATGCTCTGAAAGCATCTTTCAGATATTGGAAGAGAGCAATAAGGTCTCCCCTCAGCCTCCTCTTCTCCAGACTAAACAGCCCCAGTTCCTTCAGTCTTTCCTCATAGGGCACATTCTCCAAGCCCTTCACCAGCCTTGTTGCCCTTTTTTGGACCTGCTCCAGCACCTCCATGTCCTTTCTGTACTGAGGTGCCCAAAACTGAACACAGCCCTTGAGGTGAGGCCTCGCCAGTGCCAAGTACAGGGGCAGGATGACTTCCCTAGTCCTGCTCACCACCACTCCTCATACAAGCCAGGATGCCACTGGCTTTCTTGGCCACCTGGGCACACTGCTGGCTCATGTTCAGCCGACTGCCCATCAGTACCCCAAGGTCCCTTTCTGTCAGGCAGCTTTCCAGCCACCCCTCCCTGAGTCTGTGGGGTTGCCTGGGGCTGTGACTAAACTGCCCCTGAGCTGTGACTAAACTGCAGGCCTTGACACTTGACCCTACTGAAACTACAGTTTACATTGGCCCATTGATCCAGTCTATCCAGGTCCCTCTGTAGCGCCTTTCTCCCCTCAGGCAGATCAACACTCCCTCCCAACATGGTGTCACCTGCAAACTTACTGAGGGTGCCCTGTCAGTCCCCTGATCAGGATCCTTAACAAAGATGTTAAATAGGAGTGGACCCACACTGAGCTCTGGGGGATGCCACTCATTACCAGCCAAAAACTAGATTTAACTCCACTGACCACAACTCTTTGGACCTAGCCATCCAGCCAGTGTTTGACCCAGTGGAGCGTATGCTCATCCAAACCATGGACAGCCAGCTTCTCCATGAGGATGTGGGGGACAGTGTCAAAGGCTTTACTGAAGTCCTGGTACCACATCGACAACCTTACCTTCATCGACTAAGCTGAGAGCATGGGACTGCTTTGTCACCAAAGAGACCCGGAGTGGTTAATCCAGGCCTGTCTTTTAGGTCAAAGCCATCTGCTAATAGGAAGGACTTCATCAGCATTACCAGCAATGCCAGTGATGGCTGCAGTTTGAGAGCAAAGCTATGCCATGAAAAAGCTTTGTCCTTCTACAGGACTGCTCTGAAAGCAATGCCTCCTATTTTATTCTGTTGACCTGCAATATCATAGGCTTATGTTGATGGTATGGCTGTGGAGGATGAACTTTCCCAACGGTATCCTGTTACATTTTGTTGCCATGTGACAGATGGCAGCAGAGGCAGCAGTTTGATAAAATGTTGTCTGACACGGGAGTGTGTATGAAGAAAAGATGTGTCACTGAATTCCTTCCTGCAGAAACAATTGCATTCACTGACATTCATCAACACTTGCTGAACATTTATGGAGAACAAACAGCAGATGTGAGCTGGTAGGTGGTGTGTTTCAGCAGTGGGTGACAGTGGCAGTGTGTCACCTCTGCTCATACAGATAGTTACGAAAGCAGCATGCAGGCTCTTGTTCATTGCTAGTGAAGATGCACAGTTAATAGTGGTCGCTGTTTTGAAAAAACGGTGTTTTGTAGCTAAGAATTTGCTCTATCAGATAGTGTTATTGTGCTCTTTGTATCTGTTGTAGATTCTATGGAGATAAACAGGAGATATTGCTTTTGGAGAAACCTCCATAGATATGTTATTGCAGGGAGCTTTATGCGGCCACCAGAAAGGAGTTATAGGATGACTTGGGGATCCAGCAACATTCGTAGCCCCTAAAAATTCCCTGCAGAAGCTGAGCAAAGTGCTTGGATGGGGAGAACAGGCTGAGACCCAGAGCTCTGCCTTTCTTCCCAAAGATCGATAGCTGGGCTGTGGAAGAAGCATCTTCAGAGGAGAAAAGCTGCACTTTGTTCCACAAAGGCAACAATTAGAAACTGCCTCGTTAGCAAAAGTGACTGGGGGCTGCAGCAGAGCCTGGAGGCTGTGAACACCGTGCTGGTCTGCTTTTAGAGAGGAACAGCTCTACTGCAGCCTATGCCTGGCAGGATGGATGATGCCCATGAATGCCCAAACCCATGTGCTAGATCAAAGAAGATAATCCACCCCAAGAAAGTGAGAAATGCAGACTGGGGCTCAGGCACTGGGGCTTTGGGGTCAGAGGACAAGCCTGAAGCCACTGGCTGCCCACAGTCTTGTATGATGCATAGTAAATCACCCCCAATTTGAGTCTCGGAGGCTGCCAGGAGAGTTCTTTCCCCATCCCCATCCACACCCCTATCCTCATCCCTGTCCCTGCAGTTACACAGTGGTGGTACGGGCACCTGCCTCCATTCTGCTGCTGAAGCTGGATCCAGCACTCCTTCTGCTAGGCTGGATTGCCTCTGCACCCCCCTCCCACACCTCCACCTCCTCTCTCCTGCTCAATTATGTTCCCTGTGGGATGCAGGAAGTGGCATCGATCAGAGCTGGTTACTCAGGTGACAGCAGCTGTGTCCCTGAGCCCCCCAGGGAGAGCGACATTGCACATCACCCCCTGAGCTGTGTAACAAGGGAGGATGCTGGCCCACCTGTACACTCGTGATCCCCTGGGGCCTTGGCACTCGATGTGCTATAGCCGGCACGGCTCAGCAGTGACAAGGGACACAAGACCCCAATTAAGGCTGCATCGATTTCACTCCAGCCCCGCTTGGCAAGCTATGCTGGGGTTACGGGAGTTCTGTCAGGTCTGAACTGTCTCACACCCGTGCAGCGCTGGCACTCACATCCCAGCACCCAGCACAAACTCCCTGGGTGCCCCTTGCGCTATGGGATACATGCTGGCACATGGACACAGACACACAGGCACACAAATCTAGCCACTCACACTCATGATCCTCGCATCTTCACATCCGGCTATTGGACTCGATGATCATCTCGAGTCCTTTCCAACTCGGGACAAGTTATGATTCTGTGCAGCCCGTCTGGTCACACTCATACCGGGGCCAGCACTACTGCACTCTGTTGGCTTCCCTGCACAGCCTCTGTGTCCCCCACCCACGTCCTCCCCACGAGCCCTGCTCCCCCGCGCTGCAGCACCATGGACAGCGCCAGAGGCAGCCGGGGGCGTCCCAAGGGGGCTGGCGGTCCCATGAACGAGGGTGTCCTCAGATGATGACCCCACTGCCATCTTCCATATAGGAGGTATGGCTGTCCCCGTGGGCACCAGGGACCTAGCTGCACCGGTGCTGGGGGCTCTGTTCCCGTGGCTGCTGTTCGGGACTCACTATTGGAACCCTGAGTTTGGGGGTTGGTGTTGATACGGGTGCTGGAGGCTTGTGCTCAGGATTGCCATCCGACAAGCTGTTTTTGTTCACACTTTCCCCTCTGCACCCCGTAACACACAGGCCTGTGACCACCTGTGTGTGTACCTGTGCCTCCAGGCTGGTCACTCTCAGGCTGCAACCCTGCAGCAATTACCCAAACAGCTTCTAACCATATCCCCACATGGCACAGGGATCTCCCATCCATGGTTAGGCTGTGTGAGGCCTCGTAGCCCTCAGCGACACTTGGTTTGTTGCCCATCCTGCTCTGTGCATGACAAGGCACCAAGTTGCACTCCAGAACCCAAGGAGTGGGAACAGTCCTGGGGTAGAGGCAACAACAACATGGGTTGTGAAGCCTTGGCCATCACAGATGCCACCCCATATGTCACAGGCGTACTGAACCTGTGAGCTATTCCCATCCCAACCACCGACGCTTGCAGTATCCCCAGTGTCACCCTCAGCTCCAGATTGGTTCAGTTCAGTTCCTTTAATAGACACACAGCCACACTGCGGTGGGGGTGGCATAAGCAGCACCGAACCCCCACTGAGGTAGAGGCGAGCGTTGCCTCGCGCTCATTTGCTTTGGCTCCCAAGGGTGTGGGTGGGTGCAGAAGCCATTCCCTCCCCCCCTGCCCCAACGAGGTAGTTCAGGGCCCCCCATCTCCTTGTCCCCACATGGGGACCTCAGCATCTGTGTCTTTGGTGGGAGGTACTGCTGGGTAACCCTGTTCTGCCCCCAGCAAGCCCTTCCCAGTGCATTAACCCCACCTGCTGGCATTAGTCCCCCCACAGACCCAACCCAATAGGCCCCAACCCCATTCTCACCCCCCCCGCACCCCCCCCCCCACGAGCTGGGGGCTTGAGGTGTCCCCAGCGCTGGGTGCCACTGCCCTCGGGTGACCCCGGGGGTGTCACAGGGTGGGGCAGTGTGGGGGGAGTGAGAGGGAGGGCGGCAGCAATTGTTCTGAGTGTGTGTGGAGGGTGTATAGTACGTACGAGGAATGTGTAGGGGACACAGTGTGCATCAGGGGAGTGGACAGGGGTCAGTGTAGGGTGTGTATTGGTGATGCTGTGTGTGGGAGATGCCAGCATGTGTAAGGAGCACAGTGTGCAAAGAGATGTATATAAGGAAAGCAGTGTGTCAGACAGCATTGCAATGCGGAGGGGACAGTATATGCACCAAGGTGTGTATAGGGACTGCAATGCATACACTCGAGGTGCGTAGGGGCTGCAGTGAGTGCATCAAGGTCACTACAGAGGATACAGAATGTGCAGAGGTGTGTACAGGGGATGCAAAGTGAGCAACAAGGTGTACGGTCTGTAGCATCCGAGGTATACAATGTGGCTGCAGTGAGTACTGAGGCAAGTATGTGGAATGCAGAGACTGCATCAAGGGAATGCAGTCTGCAGGGTGCTGGGGTTCCAGGCCAGCAGGAGTTGCATGGGTGTCACAGAAGATGCATGTTTTGGGGGTCCACATGGGTGAGGGGTAGTTGCACACCTGTGGGTGAGGGATGAAAGGGCCCCCATGGTTGCTTTCTGCACTGCCACAGCCCCACACTGCAACATGATGTTCCCCCAGGCCCTCAATGGGCACATCCCTTTCTGACTGGGCACATCCTTGCCCCGTGTTTGGGAGTGCAGCTCTTTGAGGAGCACTGACCCTAAGGCGCAGTGCCAGTGGGAGTGTGGCTTTGTGAGGGGGCTGGTGGCAGTGGGTTCGGGGTGGCCGCAGGGTTTGGCCCACTTTGGGTGCCCCCTCCACCAGGTGCCAAAAGGCCTGCAGGACGGCGGGCAAACAGGACACCTGGGGAGTGAGAGAAAAGGGGTTACGGGAAGGCAACAGCACCTCAGGGAGCAGCAACCCCACATCACTCTTAGTGACACCCCTATCCTCATGTTCCCTTACACAGCTATCAGGGTGGCCAGAATCCTTTGGTTTGTGCCTGTGCACACTCACGAGCCCTGACCTTTGTGGTTTGTTAAGTATTTATGTGCTTAAGGAAAAGCTATCTGCCTTAATTGGGGTGTCTCAGCAGGACAGTCTTGGGCAGAGTGACCTGCTTAGCCAGCATGGGAGCTGTATCATCATGCAGGGAGGGCTCCTGTACCCCATAGAGTGCTGTCAGTGAGACAGGCGCTTGAGCATCCCCTCCGGGGCACCTGCATCCTCTTCACCACCCCACATTGTTCTTTCTGAACCCTTCCATAGGGGGTCTCCAAACCCTAAATTCCAAATCCCATGGTGAGGATGACCAGAAGCCTTTTAGTACCACTCAGACCAACTCTATCTATTCATCTATCCATCCCCCTCTTCGGGCATTCACTGCCAGCCCCTGCAGACTTTGACAGCTACCAGGTGCACCACCCCCCTTCTCTGCCTGCTCCCTCTCTCCAGCCCCTGCCACTTCGTTACAATGGATTTTATAGTAAAGACATCAGATTGAAGGAAGGACTTGCTGGCCAGGCAGTGGCTATAAGTTATTGGATTTCCTGGCCGCAATTACACAGGCCAAGCGGCCCTTCTATTTACCTGTGTAGACAACTCCATTTATTTCTATTGACATGTTGATACTGCTAATGCCGTTGGTGGACAGGTTCAATGCGGTCTCCTGTCTGTCATCTGGGGAGAGGAAATACCAATATAAGCACGAAGCGAAACAGAAGCTGGATGGAGCCTTCTGGAGAAGGGCTCTATTCCGCCTGTGCATCCTTGCTCTGCCCAGTGTCCCCCGTGTGCCAGGGGATGGGGTGACCATGCTGGGAGCTGGAGTGCTACCTCGGTTGGAGACTTTGATGTTCATGGGAAACTGGGAGGCTACAGCCAGGAGGTTGTGCTGCAGGGCGTGCTGCATCAGCCGCTGCTGCTCCTCTACCGTCAGGGCCACCTTCTTCTCCGGGGGCTCACCAGTCTCCAGCTTGTCCCGCAACTGCTCCAGCACTGCTGCCTGCGAGGCTGCAGCCACTTGGGCTGCTGTGAGGTGGTGGCTGGACAGCCCCACTGGGATGGCGATGCGCCCAGGCACTGTGCCATCCTCTGCAACAACAGCGAGAGATCAGCTGGACTCCCCCACTCCACCCTATCACAGAATCTTCTCCACAGGGTTGGGTGGGCTCAGAGATGGAGAGCATCCCCAGAGGTAGAGACACACTCCTCACCCACCTTTCTTCACACCGTGCACTTGGCTGATCTGGCTGCAGCTATGGGTGGAGATGCTGAGACCTGGCAAGGGCATTTTGGGGGAACCCAGCAGGGTTGGGGTGCCAGCGGGAGAGTAGTTGAAGAGTGTGGTGCCAAATGTCTGCCTCCGCCCCTCCCGCCGATTGCTGTCGATGGCAGCCTGAAGCTCCCCAGGTGAGCTGAGAGCCCGCTTCTCACATTCATAGGGGTACAGATACTTCATGTATCTGTTGGGAATAGAGCTGGCATCAACTTTCTGCTGAGCAGTGCTTGGCAGGAATGGAGCCCTCCTTCCCCTATGGGACACCCCATGCTCTCACTGTGTGCGCAGGGTGAAGGCAGCACTGGTGATGGAGGTAGGTAGGTTGAGGCCCTTGGTGATCTCGCGCCAGATCTTCTTGTTGATGACCTCCACCAGGCCGCCCTTGTCTGTCACCAGCCGATACAGTGTGTAGAGGTCCAGCACTTGCTTGGCCATGATGGGGATACGGTTCACAGGCGTCCCTTCCAGTGAGCACAGAGGGAAAGAGAAAAGAAGCACGAGATGAGCTTACATCCATTCCCTTGGGGACATGGCCCCCATGGGTACCAACTCTCAGCACCGCAGCTCCTTCAGAACCAATCACAACAGTCTCCCTGCAAAACTCCTGCAGCTTCCTGTACAGCATCTGCAAATTTCTCAGAGCATCCTAAGAGGCATCGTCTTAACACTGAGCCTTGGGGCACAAGTACCAGGGGTCTCTGCTCCCCATAGGGACACTGTTCACCAGGACTCTGCAAGCCCAGCACAGATCAGCATGGTACTCCAAAGCCATCAGGTCTGGCTACAACCATCTACACAGGCATGATGGCAGTGACTCGAGGCAAAGGAGGGATGAGCATCCTGTCCTGTCCCATCCTGTCCCATCCCATCCCATATTTATTCCCTGGCAGGCTATGGGCAGTATTGGAAAGCCATCCATTCTGCAGTGGAGGCTGTCACGGCTGCGCTTTGCCCCTCAAACGAAGCCGTCACTCACCGCCATCCTCCAGCATCCCTAATTTATGGCCCCGATATTGGCTTGGCTTCTTCGCATAAGCCTGAAAAATGAGCTCTTTTTATTCCTTTACTGAGTTCATTTAACTTTTCCTTTTTCTCTTTCTTTTTTTTTTTTTTCCTTTGTGTTGTTCGCCAGGTTGGGAAGGGGTACTTTTTAATCCTGGGAAAAGGGTGAAGATTGACCTGATATCCACCCATGGTTTTTCATCAGCCCTACCTAGCACAGCCCTATTACTGATCTGGGGGCTCCCCATCACCCCAGAAGCTATGAATGCAGTGTATCCAATCAATGCCCTCTAGACTTCTTCTTTCCCCCCCTCCCTGACTAATGAAAGCAGATGCCATTAATCTTGGGGCTGTGCAGCGCCGACGGCCAGTGCCCATCCCACTGACAAAGGGACCTGTCTGTGTCCCTGCAGAGTGATGGCCCTGGTTCTGGCTGGGGTGCATGGCACAAAAGCTTAAGGAGGTGGTAGGGCCATTGTGCTGCTGCAATTAGTTCCTCAATTGATTAATGGTGCTCTGTTATCAGCAGGGCCCTTGCTTTGGGAGGGGGCAAATGCAAGGGATGTGCAGCCGCCTCCTGAGGCTCACTGTCCCTTCCCAACCCGTTGCCACCCTGGGGATGTCCCTTCTGCGGACATCTGTGGGTGCCCATGGGATATGAGTACCCACTCTCTGAACCACAAAATACCCAGCACCCCCCAGGGTCTCCCTGTGCTGCCCTCCACCCTGGGGAGGGGAAGGGAGTGGAACAGGGGAGCATCTGGCTCCCTCCCTCCTCCTTGCACCACCAGGCGCTCACTTAATTAGCCTGGGCCCCAATAGCAAGAGAGTTAATTAGCTCTGGAGAGAGAGATAATGAAGCCGCCAAGCAGCCCATGAATCTTGTGGCTGAGGGATGCTGGGGGGTGGAGGGGCAGAGGGGACAGTGCCAGTGCTCCCCCAGCTCCCTCCTACCTGCCCCACAGCTAGGGTCACGCAGTGCCCAGGGGGCAGCACTTAGACCTCCCTCCGCTTCCAGACCCGTGGCCCTGAAAAGAGTTTGTGGTGGGGACTCAGCATCACCAAGAGTCGGGTGCTGCTGCCCGACGGGTGAGCACCCACTCTCCCTGATGACCCCTAAGGCAGATCTGGGTCTGACTGCCCCTCTCTGCCCTGCACAAAACTACATCCAAGCCCTTCCCATCCCACCCCCACTTCAGCTTTCCCCCGTTAATTAGCTCGGCATTAACCTCTGCCTGGGGTTTACTGGCTATCGAGCGGCATGTTCATTAATCCACACACTGGCAAAAGGCTCTAATTAATACAGCCAGCCGCACGCCCACATTTGGCAACTTTTAATTGTTGCGGACCTGGATGGTGAGGGCGAAGGTTAAAGCATTTATCGAGTCCCCAGGAGCTGGCTCGTCCCTGTGCCGATAGCAAAGATTTCCGATGGTCTGGGTGGGCTGCAGAGCTTTAACCCTTGGGCACCCGGTGCTGCTCCCACAGCCCTGGGGCAGTGCTCATGTATGGCCATGATGACCCACAAATGCTAACGGGGATTGCTAATGGGCACTGCTAGCAGGTCTTGCTAATGGGCATCTCTGCTGGGTATCACCAATGGACACTGGTGGCATCGTTATTGGGTATCGTTATTGGGCACCTCCACTGGACATCGCCAGTGGGCACTGCTAACAGGTACTGTCAGCAGACATCCCTGTCAGCCATCACTGATGACCATAATTAATGGCTTTTTCTAATAGATATTGCCCAAGGGCACTACTGACTGGCACCACTGCTGCACATTCCTGCTGGTTGTTGTTAAGCATCAGCAATGGGCATCACCATCAGCCCAAATTTGGGGGTCCCTCTGGCTGTCAGCAACCCAAGATGGGTTGGATAAGGGGACAAACCTGTGAGCATGTGCATGTGTAAATGTGTGTATATAGAACGTGGTGTACAAATCTAAAGGTGCATTCCAGGAGACACAGGGTATGCAGGAAGAAATGAGCTTGTGTGACAGTGATACACATGAGTCTGTATGTGATCATCTAGCCTCAGGGGCTTGCAGAGACCTGCAGCTGCTCAGTGCACAAGTGCCTCTCATGAGCTCCCTTTAGCCAGAGTACCCACCCATGCCACAACCTTTACCTCTCTTCTGCATGAAGCTGAAGAGGTCATCCAGGAATTCTTTGCGCTTCGGATCATCATCCAGTTCATAGAGCTGAGGACAAGGGACAGAGGGGTCAGTGCTGCCAGCACCAAGCAGGGGTAAGCATGAAGGATGGATACTCTGATGGCATCACCCATTCCCCGCAGCTCTCTTTGCCCAGGGCTGCTGTAGGCTCCCCAGCACCAGCTCCCTCTGTGCCTCAGTTTCCCCACCCCAGAGAGCAGCAGGGCAGGATGCACCCATGCTGTACAGCTCGCCTGATTCCAGCACAGCGCTTTGGTGACCATGACAAATTGGAGCCCGCCAGATCGATGGCCCAGCAGTAAAAGTCAGAGCACATGAAGGAAAAATTAGCACCAATCGAAGGCGCTATAGACACTGATTCCTCCCAGTGAGCCCAGCAAGAATTTAAAGCCATTGAAAAGAAACAAAACTCAGCAGTCCAGAATGGATTTCCAAAACATATACAAAGAAATGCAAGCTGGAAAACAAAGTCAGGCACAAAATAGAGTCGTTTAAAAAACAATTGTGTAGGGAAAGGCCGTTAAAAACCAATAGAAAGGGAGCCCCCCCCACCTCCACACAGCACATAATTCACGGGCAGATAAAAGGAGTGGGGCTGTGTGGAGGCGTTGGCAGCGGGCATGCAGAGATCTGCAGACATGGAGATGGCAGGCACACAGGACACACAGGGGTGCAGGGATTCAAGGACATGGGGACATGAAATTGGGGTTGTGAAGAGATGGGAATGTGATAAGAAAGGGATGTGGGGGCATGAGGATGCGGGGACGCAAAGATGTGCAGAGGTGAGGACATGGAACAAGGGTCTGCTCTGACAGCCTCAGAGCCCCAGAAGCTCTTGTTTCCTTGCCTGGCCACCAGCCCACCCCTTCCATCCCTCCCAGCATGGGAACTCAGGACTAATCCCCACACCAACCACTGCTGCCAGTACAGGGTCATACCCTCCCCAGCGGTCAGCCAGCAGAGTGGTCCCTGCTGCCAGATCCATCTGTGCTCCTGCAGCTCTCAGACAGGTGCTACCTCCCAGCATCAGGATCTGTCCTCCACCATTTATTAACCCCTCACCTTTTATCTATTGTGCAAAGACATGTTACATCAGGCCAGGAGCAAAGGTCGGCTTTTAAGTGGAGCAAGGAAGAGGGGATACAGTGGGCATCCCACGTGGTTTGGGGATGCTTGGGCTGGAAAGGGGCTGGGCACTGTGGTCTCCTGCCTCTATGGGGACAACCACTGGAGTGGCAGACCACAGCTCCACCCTGCTCCACACAAGCACAAACAACCTTGCAAAGGTGTGCACAACCCTGCATCAGAGCACATGCAGTCCACATAGGTATGCAGAGCCCTGTACATGTATGCAAAAGCGTCAGAAGTACAAGTCTCCACATGGGTATACATAGCACCATATGGATTTATACAACCACAAATAGGCATGCGCAACCCTCTACATCCACGCACAAACCCATGTGGGTGCAACTACTCCCTCACAGCAGGCTTAACCCTGAACATGCATGCACAGCACTGCATGGCAAGCACCCCATGTGAGCACACACATTCCTAATGGGGATGTACACCCCCAGATCGGAACATAGACCCCCGAGTGGGGACAATCCCCTCACACACCTCCAGTAGCTGTCAGCCTTGCTCAGGGGGCAATTGTGCAACATGAGCAGCGGCTCCTGCTTGCAGTGACCTATGAGCAAGGACCCTTTTAATCGTGTTTGTATTGATATAATTAGTAACTCATTTAACGCCATCGATGTAACTATATTCCTCTATAAACACAAGTATTAAACTGTCAAGCCTGGGGATCAATATCCCACTGGTGCGCAGCTCTGATCCACTGTACTGACCTCAGGACCCCATCTGTGAGGGCTCTGACCCCACTCCCCCCCAGAAAAAGCCCACAGCCCCCAACATGAACCCAGCACAACTCTTGGGGTGTCCCTGTCCTGAACCCACTGCAGGTGCAGCTGTGGGCAGCCCTCTCCCTGTCTGCACCCCATTGCCATGGCGATGTCTTCATTCCTTAAGGAACGGGGATAACGGGGCTGCTCCGGGTTAAAGGGCAGCAGGTCGAACATGGTTTATTAAAAGGGTATGAACAGACCTCATGCCTCCCCTGCCACCTCACCGCGATTAAATAACCTTGTTAGCACACTTGCTCACCCCAAAGGTGCCTCTCCCTGATCTGGGGGTGTAGGGACAGCGCAGACCCCATGGCCCAGCCCATCCTGCAGAAGAGGGAAGCAGGGAGGTGGCAGAGCCCCTCCATCCCCACAGCGCTGCCAAGGGAAGCATTCGCAGTGGGACCCCTGCTCAGCTGCCACCTCCCAACAATAGCCAGGGCTCAGATCAGAATTTAATCCACTTAATATGGGCTGCATCGATCCCGAACCCTGCTTGGCTTCCCCCCTGCCTCGCACCCCCCCCAGCCCTCAGCCGCTTAATATGCACTGCATTGATTAGCCTCCCTGCTAATTTCTCCATCTGTCCACTGCTCACACAGGGAGCAGAGATGTTCTTTCTGCACCCACCCTCTACCCTGGCATGCTGCGGGTGCTCATTTGTGGACCTTGGTCTCCTCTGGGGACTACACAGCCCTCTGCAGCATCACTGCACTACGGTCCCACTGTATTGTGCATAGTCAGGAACCTTGTACCTGGTTCCTATCTCGTGCCAATGGGGTGGGGGAGCCACTGGTGCCTCTGTTTACTCATGGGCTAAAGTCATGGACCCGGGGGCTCTGGGCCCCCATGTTGGGGTTCCCCGCCCCCCCAATCCCATCTCACTGCTGGGAGCAGCTCGCTCCCCGCCGGGCACCATCCAGCCCTGACCTTGCAGGCGCCTGGCCCCACGCCGTTAATAAGTTAATGGTTATGGGACGGCACTGCCTGGACGCTGGCTGCATCCGAAAGTGCTGTCAGCTGCTGGGGGGCTGTGCACCAAACCCACAGCCCTCACCAGGGCCGCACTGACCCCAGTGTCCTCACCTTCATCACTGTCCCACTATCACAGCCAGACATCCCCCACACTGGATCTCCCCAGCCTGTTCCAAGTGCTTCCCTTCAAGCCATTCACCGTGCTTAATATTTAACGGGGCTTTACAGAGCAACAGGTTTAATCAGCGCTGATAGCGCAGCAGATCCGGCAGGCCATTAAAACCCCCTTCCCGCCACCGCTGTTGGTCCTGGGGGAGCTGCCTGCTGCAAACATTAACCCAGTTTGGGGCAAGGTGAGGGATGTTTGCTTGTGGCACTGGCCTTGGGATGACAGCCTCCTGCCATGAGGAGATGGGGACTCACGGGATCCCAGCCACGTCCTCAGCCCATTTAGCAGGAGGGGGAGAAATGAAGGCACAGAGCACCACAGTGGCATGGAGGAAACGTGATGCCATCGTGGCACCATCACCATATCCCAGTCCTGGGGACTCTGGACACGAGATACTGCTGTACCTGCTGTAGGGAATCTGTTTTAGCAGGGAGTTGGACTAGATGATCTCTAGAAGTCCATTCCAACCCCTGCAGTTCTGAGACTCTGACACTGCAAGGTGGAGCAACCCAAGTAGTGCCCCATGCCCCTGCGAACAGCCATGAGCACACCCATGCATCCCTCGGTGCTCTCCATGCACGCACATTCACCTCCATGCACACGCTGCATGTTTTCACAGCCCCCTCCTGCTCACACACCTCACACACACTGTGCACACACACCCTGTGCACACTCACACACCCCTTATACACATTCTCCTTGTGTACACTCACACCCCCACTACCCTTCAGTCCCAAATGTGCACTCACCCCACACACACCTGTATCTGCTCCCACACCCTTTCGCAGCTGCAAACCACCCGTAGGACTAGAACCCACCTCTCCGGGTTTGTATGCTGCCCCACTGCAGCAGCCCCGCTTCCATCATTAACCTAATTAATGGATTTGTGGAGGTTAAAGCCGGCGAGGGGGTGCAAACCCACCACTTTCACCTGACTGCTGGCACAGAGCCGGGAGGGTCGCACAGGGTCCTGCCAGCCTCATTTCAACCTTTTCTCCTTTCCCCGAGCTCGGGGATATGGCTATCCCCACCTCCCCGAACACCCGTCCCCAGCTCCCGCGCTGCCCGCACTGCTGGCACCTTTCTTCTCACATCCTTGATTAGTTTTTACACCTCCTTCTCGGAGCCCCGACGCCGAGCCCCAGGGAGCTGCAGTCTGGGAACTGAGGCTGTGGTGGCCAAGGGCGCTCCCCGCAACCCCCAGACCGCACCGGGCCGGTGTTGCATCCCCCCGGGGCACTGTGCTCCATGGGACAGGGGTTGAGCCCCGGCACTCAGCCCCGCTCACTTCACAGCCCCTTCGCCGCAGGTGGTCCCGTCCCCACGTTTGTGGTTGGGAAACCTCCGGCAGCCGCGGCGAGGAGAGGATTCTGCGCCCTTGTGCCGCGGTGTAACCAGAGAGCCTGTAATTTAGACCGAGAGCCCCGCGGGGCTGCTCTGCACCTGGGTGGAGATGCACCGGGAGGAGGTCAGGGCGAGAGCCCCTTCACCGCAGGGGTCTCGGTGACCGTCCCAGACAGCGGGGAGAACTCTGGGACTTTGGTCCGTGCTTCTTTACCGAGCGGACACGAACGACTGCTGGGCTGATGCAAAGGGCAGGTAAGGGGTTTCCCGACCCGCCGATATCACAGCAGCCCGCAGAGCAAAGGTCCCTCTGCGCCCACAAACTGCGGGTGCCCCAAACCATTTCCCCTGCATGGGTTGCCCGAGCAAAGCGCTCGCTTCGCCCATTAATCCTCACAAATCCTCTCCGCAGCCCCTTCCTCCCGGCCCCGAGCGGGGAACCTGTTCTCCAGGTCAGACACAGCCTCGAGGACGCGTCCCCTCCCGGACAATGACAGAGGAGGGCCAGCTACCTCGCAGCCCCGGGGCACCGAGCCCTGCCCCAAACCGCAAAGCTCCTTTCCCCTCTTTCCGACTCATCCTATCTGAGGCACCCTCTGGCAATAAGTCCCTTTGTCCCTGTGCACCCGAGGGCACTGGAGGTAAGAGACGCACTTCTGTTCCCAGGGCTGGATGGGAAAAGACAAGCTACCAGATGGAAAATCCACGAGCGGCAGCGACTCGTCTCTTTAGGGCTGAGGAGGAAGACGGGAGGAAGCCGGCGAGCCGGCGAGTTACAGTTAACACCCGTCCCGATGTTCTCTGTGGTCTGTCCCCCCGTATTTACATGGCGATTTGCAGCCGCACTAACGAGGGGCAGGGCGCGGGGCCGAAGGAAGAGAGAAATGCCTGGGATGCTTTCTCTCTGCAAAGCTTCCCCGGGGCCGGGAGCGAGGGAGGAGCCGCGTCCCACCTCCCGCCTGAGCCCGGGAACCGGACAGTCAGCCTTTTTCAGCGCAGCGGGCTGTAACGTAACACTTCCCCGCCGAGCTACTCGACCTATGCAGCGCACCCACCCTGGAGGTGGCCCACTGTGTATACCGTGGACCAGAACCATAATGAGCTGTGCAATATCTGAACACAAAGTCTGGCCCCTGCAGCCATTCTCATCCCCTCCTGGCTGAGGGTGTCCCTAAGTCCCCAAGCACTGGACATAAAGAACGCTTATCTGTCCCCCCAGCAGCACTACCACAAAAAGCCACACACCTCTGCACAGGGACATCTCAGCCCGCTCTGTCCCTTGGTGCATCATCCCTGCCATGACCATCACCACGACTCCAGTGAGTTCACAGGATGTGCAAACCCGAGACAGAGCTGTGCAACCCACACTTGCATCCCTGCAGGAGCCTTGTGCAAAGTGAGGGTAGCACAACCCAGCAGGGGGGAATATACAAGTGGGAATTAAACGCAGAGATCTTTACTCCACCTCAGAGCCCACAGGCCCTATAAACTTCCCAGGTCCCTGCAGAAACTCACAGGTGGGCACAGGGAAGTGCCAGATTCTGGGCACCCTGCTGTCCCCAGGGCACCCTCCCAACACCATGGGGCAGAAGGGGCTGGGGCTGTCCAAGCACAGTGGAGCTGGAGGAGAGTACAGGGAGCTGGGAGAAAGGCATAGGGGACACAAAGTCTGGGGAGACGAAGGAGGTGAGGCACGCCAGAGTGGGTTGGGATGGGTCTTGGTGGTGGGGATGGGGGTATGCAGAGCCCATTTGGGAAGCAACAAAGTATACGGTGGTGGGAAATGGGGAGCTCAACAGGATACTTGTTGGGGAGAGACAAGGTGCAGGGATGGCAGGTGAGGAACATCCATGGGGTGCCCATCTTGGGAGGGATGGTGATTCAGGATAGGGGTGCTGGGGTGCACTAGCTGTACTTGTCCAGCATGCAGTTTGGAGGCAAAAGAGGGGGATTCGGGGAGGGTCCCAATGAGGGTGATACAGAAATGATATTTGGGGGCAATGGGAGATATAGCAAAAGTCTCCTTGGGTACAGTTGGAATGGGACTTGGGGACAGTGGGGTGGCTGGAGATCAGCTCTGGGATGGGGAGAAGGGAGTATAAGCGACATCTATCTGGGGAAAGCTGGAATCGGAGTTAAGGGGCATTGGGGAGTCATTGGGGATCAGCCTGGGGCTGGTGAAGCTGGCGCAGCAGATGCTTCCTACCTGCTTGAACTGCTCCTCGTAGGTCCACTCGTGGTGTGGCGGGGGTGGCGGGTCGCAGGGCTCCCCTTCCTCCTCCTCCTCCTCATCCTCCTCTTCCTCTTCCTCCTCCCCTGCTGCGGCGGCCAGCGGGCGTGGGCCAGGGGTCGGGCGGCGGCGGGGGGCGGAGGGCGGCAGAGCGGAGCCGGGACCAGGAGCGGCTTCGAACGGCGGCCGTCGGGGTGCGCCGTCGGGGCCGCGGGCCAGACGGGCCGCCTGCTGCCGCTGCAGGCTTTCCATCACCGCCGCCAGGCGCAGCCCCCCAGCCGCCCCGGGCCCCCGCGGCGGGGCGGCCGGCTGCGGGCACAGGGCACGGCCTCAGCACCGCCACCGGAGGAGCGGAAAGAGGAGGAGGAAGCACCCCACTCTCTTCGCCCCCACCCGTCCGGGGGCCCTGCCCCGAATTTGCCCGCAGACGGGGTTGGGGGTGTGGGGAGGGGGGAGGAGGCACCTCATCCTCGCGTCCCGGTACCCCTCGGGACGCATCCGAGCGGGGACCCCTGTCCCTGCCTTTCAGTCCCAAAAAGAGCCCGCTCCCACCGGGGAACCCCCACTCCTGGTACCACCCCCGCGGTCCTACTGGAGAGCCCCGTTCGCTTCCATCGGGGCGTCCCCACCCCGTTCCCCCGCGGCCCCGGAGCCCCTCCGGTCCGTCCCGTCGCGGCTCGGCCCTCACCGGGGCGGTTCTGCCCGCCAGGCTGGGGTTCTCCACCATACCGCCGGCTCCGAGCGCCGCCCGGGGCTCGCCCCGCCGTCCCGGGGGCACGGCGCTGCTCCGCCCGGCCCCGGCCCGCCGCTCACATGGCGCCGCGCCCGCCGATATTTCTTTTATTCCGCAGCAGATGAGGGTGGGTGGGATTTTTTTTTTTTTCCCCTTTTCTTTCTTTCTCTCTTTCTTCCTTTTTTTTTTTTTTTTTTTTT